ATGCGGCTTAACACGACTCGAAAGCTAGCGACAAGGACGCTAGGGCATTGGCAATGGTCTTCATCAGTGGCTATGAATGGTAGTCGAACTGACCTCCAAGCAGCGGCCATGTACCTGTGCCCTCTCGTACAGGCGTGATCTTTTGCGTATTCTCGCTTCTCTGTGCGCTGTGTCTCTCCGTTCTTCTTCAGCCGACCTTATAGAAAATTCGTGCTTTCATAGAGTACACTCCGCACCTCCACCTTCATTGTTACGCCCTCTTACACGCCAATTATATCTCGGGACGTGCCTTCATGCTCCGGAATAGGCTGTGTATGTCACTGGCTCACAATATCCTTGATTCGAGCTGATAACCTTCAAACTCGTAGGGCAGCGCCAAAGGCGTTGATCAAACCCATGCAAAGTCATTATTAATGAGCTTTCCAGGCCAACAAATAGAGCACGATCATGCTTTCTACACAGTCACTACTACAACGCAGGATGAAGAAAAGCTGTCGTCGCTGATTCGAATGAAGTCCAGGTTTGACAGTCACTCCGAATTCCTACTTTACCGTCCCAAAATCCTTCTTTCAGGACCCGGAGCGACAATCTGACATGTGTCGCGGTGAATCCAGCAGGTCAAGTCTCTCGATCAGTCTCCGTGCAAATTCTTGGACCAGGTAGCCCTCCATCTACCGTCACACTACAGAGTGAACGAGGTGGCTATACTGTATCTTGGCTTCCACCATCACATCCAAATGGAAACATCACGGTAACTTCATTGTAGACTAATAAATATAAAGATATCAAAATAAAAAATAAAAAATACAAATACAAATCTATAACAGAAGAATTCGTCAATTTTCAGAAGTACGTAGTGTACCACACATTCAACAAAGACGATCCGTTGTCAGATTGGCAGAAGCTGGTGCTCGACGGCACGGAGAATAGCGTCAGGTTTGTTTTTTTTTCAACAGCGATTACTCGAAAACCAGTTTAATGTCGCAACTGAGATTTTTAGGGTCTTGTCAAAAACCGAAGATGCATTTTATGTGCGAGTTCAAGCTGCGGCTGACAGTGGGCCAGGAGTGATCTCTGATATCGTAGCTATAGAGAAAGATAGTGAGTACCTTGATACTAGAGAACCTGTTGAGGGTTGCGGGGAGTCTTCTCTCAATATTCAGATTCTCAAAGTGCGCTACAAATCTGACTTCGATTCAAAATTGCAGACATTCTTAAATGCGCTTCCTCTAGGGGTAGCGTAGCGGCACAACCACCATGTGCACATCCTGGGGTTGGAATCTCCACTGAATCTCGTTTAGACCAGCCTTACCTTTCACCGTGTGGTCAAAACGCTGACCTGCAGAATGGTTGGGCCCGAGAATCACGTGTGGACCAGATCGTATTCAAATCCCATCACGACTCTGAATGAAAGCGGAAATTGTGGGTCACCAAAAAGGAATTGGCCGTCTAGACATATGTATTCTTGTCATTTTTTTTTATTTTGTTTGTTTTTTTTAAAGTTGTTCACTAGTCTTCTGCAGTTTCTCGATATTTTGATCTTTTCACACAGGCTTATTCTGAAGCATGCAAATATGAGCTGACGTCAGCGGTTGAGTGACCCTGATTCGTGAATCCTGCTTAATTTTCCTACCTTCCTGGATCTACCATGTTTCTAGCTTTCCGGTAGCATAGGTATCTAGCCTTTTGTTGGGTGATCTCCTTAGGCTGCTATCGCAAGGTCACGCACACTGTTCGTATGTTATCGACCTGGGACCTTCCAAATACATATAGAATGGCCTTACATCACTTTGTGATCAACCTGTCGTGCGAGCCCCAGGAGGATATAGAGGTGCCAAAAAAAGACATTTTGCCTATGTCGGACTTCGGCTCTTTTTTCTTCGCAGAGATTGCTGTCGTTGACGGGAGTTCCTCAGCAGAGTATTCCCTAAGTGTTCCTCTATTAGTGTACGCAGGCTCTCCTTCACTGCCCTCACCGTCTTCAGAATATGACGTCATCTGTCATCGAACTCAAGGAGGGCTACCGTACAGCCTAAAGCTCTTACATAATTCGTGAATAGATTCCATCTTGAATAGTTTCCTAAGACATTAGCTCCCTTAAGCAAAACTCCTCGAAATTCGCTTTTCAGCAAAAAGTCGTTATGGTACACGATCCTTCGCAAACCCCATTGAGCTCGACCAGTGCAATTTTTCTGATGCTGTCCATGATGTGGCCATGTGAATGAATTCCTTCTTAATAGAATAAAATTACGCTCTTCGAGTACTTAATCTGATGAGTCATTCGGTTTGACGTGAGCAGAGTGTGATTAAATCCATCTGAATGTGGAAAGAGAATGTCCTTTTTGATTAGCCCCCTGTAAATATGCTGGCTCATACAGTGCATCTGATCCACGTCCATCATTAAAATCTTGCGATGGGAGCCTTCTGCGGCGTATCCCAAAAAGTTTGTGTAATTTAGAGCGTGTTATCTTTTCACTTGAGTTTATATTATTATTGCTATCTATGCTTGAGCAGCCTTCGTGCTTTTAGCCATTCCAATCACGGTCTCACTGGAGTACTCGGGAGAACCAGAACATGAACACTTATTGGTAGAATCGCGAGAAAAAGTAAGAATTTCATAGTGAGCAATCTCTCAAATTAGTCACCTCCATTCAGATCAATGTTCGCTGTGTTGCCCGAGGTAAGCCACGGCCACAGCTGTTCTACGTTTTGACTGAAGTTGGAGATGATCCTGAGGCAGAGGTAAGCTCAGAGTAGCCTGATTGTGAGATTTTCTGCTCGGAATGCTCGGAGATATTGAAAAGATAGTTTTTTTTTCGGCTTTTTTAGCACTACATTTTTTGCGGAGCGAGAGGTTGGTGCGCTTTTTGAATGTTCCTAACTGATTCTTGATATTGATAATGATTGATTTTGATGATGTCTGAAGTGGGGCTGAGAAAGGAGTTTGCGCTGTGGTCTCGACTCAACATTAGCCTGACTGTAGGCAGACCCTACTTCTCCTCCATCTCTCAAGTACATTGGCCCGAGGGTAGGGCCACAATCTTCGAGTTGTAAGTCAGCAATACAACAGGAACCGTCCGCACCTTTCACCATATTGCCACTATGGTAACGTGCCGGTATTGCAAGAAGCGACTTCTGGGTTTCAGCCTCACCTGAAGTTACCACTTTTGACTAGTTCTATTGGATTGTTTTGTTTTGTTTTGCCCACAACTGAACCAGCATTCTTGTGATAACTCACATGAAGTCTTTGGTACGGTTTTGTGCCTTCCCATGCGTTTTTTCGACTAGACCTGATGTTACCGGTTAGAAGTAAGATAGCTGGTAGTTGTAATAACTGTGTGAAGCATTTCTAATTATCGATTTCAGGAGGACATATGGCAGCTTCTTGATGCTAAGGTGGAACGAGACAGCATTGTAGGTGAAGTGGAGTTCTCTACATTTACGTCGAAGACGCTCCATTGTAAGGCGAAAAACACAGCGGGCTCAAATTCCTCCTTCACTAACATTTCTTGTGAAAAGTCAGTTCATTTGGCGTTCTCACAGCTTCAGAAGCAAAGGTGATGGACAATGCGTGAAGTTTTGTGCTGATTTAGAACCAGGAGACCCACCACGTGACATCCAGGTGTTGTCGATTGACTCCCGCGACGTCATCATTGTGTGGAAAGCTCCAAAATATCCGAATATGAAAATTGAGGTGTGTTCCTATAATAAGTTCACATCGTTCCAAGGGCATTTTCAGTCATGACGTTAGAAAGTGTCTGTGCTGCATACTTTCTCTCTCACTAATCCTTCCTACAGACCATATCTTGAAGTCTGATTAGGCTCCTTGTGGATTTGACGTATTCGGCCGCCGTACTCATTTGAAATTGCGCGGATAAGCTGCTTCCAGCATGCTTTGAATATCCAGCGAGTATTTAGAAACAGCTTATCCACACGACTTCTATCAAGTGCGGCGGCGGCCACGTCAAATCCGTAGACCCGCCTAATCAGACTTCGTGATATGGACTGTATATGCAAACTTGAGGTCTGACATGCCTGTCAGTTTCTTCTCACATTACACGTGGTGTAGGTAAGGCATTACCCAAGTAGAGAGTTATGTAATCATGGGTCGTAAGCGTTAGACTACAGCGCTTACTGAAAGCACTTACGGTTAAAGTCGGAGCCTGACAACATGCGCTCAAATTAGTTCTTTGATCACTAAATATCCCTTGGACTTCTAAAGAGTCCATATGAGCGAATTAGAGCCAAACGGACGGATGGCCCAGTTATGGGAGCCGGGTCAGCGTTAGACTGTCTCAGAAGGTCGGTATGATGACTACAGGCCGACAGCGCTTGGAAATATCCATTTGGCGCAAAGGGCTGGAAATGGTTAGGAAGTTCTTCTAAATCACAAATTTTGAGTATTTGTTTTTTTTTTGTTTGTTTCTTGAAGTTTCGAAAGGTTATGTCCTTTTTACCGGTATCGTCGGAATATCGCTGTTTTGAAAAAACGCCGAAAAGGGCGACCGTATTGCGTAGTTGATTGAAACTGATTAGGATGGTCAGACTTTGCGTATTGCCCCATCGCTAGATTGACCTTCTGCTAGCCATTCGGGGTACGAGCGATGCACCAGTTTATTCAACGAAGCACCACAGAATTTAGTCAGTGATTCGCTTGTTGCATCGTACTTACATCTCGAATTGCTAGCAGAACGCCCAATAGCTGAGAAGTGTGAATCACCAAACTGACAAACTCGGTCTCATAGGCACCGCCGTCTTCAGTCCCCGGGTCCGCGTGGTGACGCGCGTAGTCCTCGCGCGCACAGCTAAGATTTTCTGTAAAAAAATGCCAGCGCCACTGGAAAGAACTGCATTAATTTGGGAGCAGCTCTAATAAACTTGACTTCACTTAAAGAGGCTATGTCTGAGCCTACGCTGCCACTTATGCTGCATTGATAGATGTAAGCTGCAGAAGCTGGGCCAAATTTATGATCGCTAGTTTACACAAGTCAAGCTACATTGAGCTACATAGGTAACAAAAGAGCATTCACTCTCTTTACCTCGATTAAAATTCAGCCATTGCAAGCAATATCCATCTCATATAGTGACTTTCTTTCTTAGCTCTCTTTAAATTCCTCTCGATTCTTCATAGCACCAACCCATTCGCCTCCCTCATTCTAATGTTTTGTAATATACATTTAGTACGCTCAAAATCGCACCTTTCCAGTCCCTACGACTGCTCCTGAGCGATGATGTTCGATCGAAGATGAAGGAATACTGGCGAGAATTCGAACGTTCTGCCGCGAGACGATTCGATGCCAGTGACAAGGTAATAGAGGAGTATTCAAAGTGTTACTAGGTAGTGATAAGCAGAGCTGCCCTCCAGGCCAACCAGAACCAGTTCTTTCCGCAGTTGGTTGGTACAAGACTTGTGGAATGATAGCAACAAAAAAACTTCTACATCTGCTTCATCCTCGCAATCTTATAGGTATAACTCACACTATGTGCCACTACGAATTGAATGAGTGAAATACGTGGCTCATCCCAACATGGGTTTTCTCAGGCCGTTTTTACTTTATATCTTTCCAGTTCGAGTACACACACATTCGAGTGCATTACAGCGGCACCTAGCATATGTGGTATATAAAGCAGAGGCCATTAATAATCTTTTATATCTTCCTTGGCAAACGCCTCGCTCCTTCAGGCACACGCCCAAACCCTTTCAATGCGTTTAACTGCCTCTCCTCTTTCCAGCTCAAATGCCATTTTTTTCCTGCGGTTTTCTGGGAATTTCACCACAATCT